ATGACTACATCCAATAACCTTCCATACTTAAAAGTGCTGACAATAATAATTCACCGTCGTCTCTGAAACTTCCTCATTCACCTTGTCTCACCCTCAAAGCCATATGGCAAAGAACCTCACCAGGTGTCAGGAGAGGAGCTCCTCTCTGCTGTTCCCCACAAGAGTAATCTCCCTCTGTCTTCCCATCAGCCCCCAGGCACTTGAAAACGTGGGAACAATGACCAGCAAAGACTGAAAAGACAGTTCACGGGCTGGAGGAAGTTTCACATCAGAGTTAGAGGTCACTTTCAAATCTGAACCCAACACAGAAGAAACCTACACATCAGATGCCAAGTGCAGACGACATTTTCACGTGTATTCTTTAAAGACAACAGTGACAGCATTTTGCAATTACTCTGCTTCGGATATTCATAGCCTTTGTTCTTCTGCATGCAGTTGGACAAATACAGCTTATACAATGAAAGAAACACTACCTGACATATCTGAGTATCAAGACCATGAAAGATAGTGGAAATAATTTCAACAGAATTTTGGGGTTCCCAAAGCACATGAACTATAGCATGAGAAGGTTTTCTGTGCAACATAACACAATTCATGCCCCAAACTTATTTTACACTTCATTGGCTACAGTTGCCATGCATCAGCACCTACTATTTCACACTTTATAGCTGGCAAACAGGCTGCAGCTTAGTCTCTTTCACACTCCAATGACATGGTAACATCATGGTTCACCAACTTAACTGTCCCAAGTTTAATGTCAGTACCTATTATTCACTACCTCAAAAGGTAATTAGATAAAAGCTTTCATATTTGACTGAACAACAGCAATATATAATAGGAAGGTGGAGAGAAAGGGCTGCTTCCCTCTCTGTATATAGCAGGTGGTGAGGACAAGGAGAGAAGGTCTGTGTGTTTTTTTTTAAAAAAGCTCTCCTAAAACGTCTTTTGCCTTTACTATACATCTGGAGGTCGGTTTGGGTTTATGAAGACTCTCCAAGCTAGCTCCTCTCCTGAGTCTATCCCAAGTTATATGGACATTCTACAACTGACAACATAGGAGTTCAAACGAGGAAGCTTTTGGGGTGTATTTCAACAATGATACGCACTGTTAGATTTCTTCCCTTTTTTTTTTAGGTTTTACAGACTAAGGTGAACAGATCACTGAATAAATTTTCAAAGCAGTGGCCCTACTGACTTACAGGTAACCTCAATTGATACAATCCTAATAGTAAACCAGCAAAAAACCTAAAACGTGATCACAGCCTTGTCAAACAAGTGTTGGCTAGGATTTTAAAATCCCCGTGCTAAAGTATTATGGTAGACTAAAACATAAGCCTTCTAAAAATTGTGAAGCATATTACAGGTTAATTTTAAAGGTATCAAAATGCAATGGTAACCAAACGGAGCAGAGGTAAATGAGGTATAGTTGTATGCTAGAGATAAAGCTAGTTATGTATCTCCTCCTCCCTATGCTAGCAAGTGTGAAAGTTAAATGTATCTGGTTAGAAAGAGAGATGAGAAGATCTAACATCCACTTGTTTACTCCCCAAGTGCCTGCAACGGTCAGAGCAGAGCTGATCCGAAGCCAGGAGCCAGGAGCTTCTTCTGGATCTCCCATGCAAGTGCAGGGTCCGAAATCTTTAGGCCGTACTTGACTGCTTTCTCAGGCCACAGGCAGGGAACTGTGGGAAGCAGGGCTGCAGATATTAACTGGCACTCACATGGCAGCCTGGGGCGTGCAAGGCAAGGACTTTAGTCACTAGGCTACCGCACCAAGCCCTCATCCTACAGAATCACAAACATAATCAGCAAAGCTCATTTCCATTCAAACTGCCCACCAGAATCTAAGCAGTGTTCTGTTCTAGCACGTCACCCCCTCCTCACTGCCTCTCAGACACAACCACCCTCCTCTGCTGTTCTACAATTCACAGGCTGTCACGGATTGGCAGCACCACCTTTGGGGACCAGAGAAGTACTCTTGTGGGACAACACAGTGCATTAATACGACATTTTCTCAGACACAATGTCATTCTTTATAGCCAATTGTAAATGATCTTCTTCTTCTTAAAAAAAAAAATACTAATAAGACAGGTACAAGGAGATTTCAAATAACCAAGATTAAAGCTTTGGTTTGTTCTGAGATTTAGGTCATTTTAGCATGCTTCTAGTTATATCAACCATGGGTCTGGATTCCTTTTTTTTTTTTTCCCACTTTAAAAAATATTTATAAGTCAGAGTTACATTCACACACACACACACACACACACACACACACACACACTCAGACACAGATTTTTCCATCTCCTGGCTCACTCGTAAGATGGCCCCAGAGTTGGGCCAGGTCAAAGCCAGGAGCCAAGAACTTTATCCAGGACTCCCACAAGGGCAGCAGGGGAATAAGCCCCTGGGCCATCTTCTATTTCTTTTCCGGCACATTAGCAGGGAGCCAGATTGGAATAGGAATAGCTGTGTCTCGGACAGTCACCCATGTGGGATGACAGCACTGTACGAAATTTAACTTTATTACAGCACTGTGCCAGCCTCTCAGGCTATTATAATAAGTCTTCAAATTCAACATTTGAAGACGTACATTTTCCACTTAAAGTATATCTCAATCCATAATGTAAATATATTTTCAGCTTATAATACTTTTCTACCTTTGCCTGTACTTACCATGTCATGATACATTTATCAGAAAGATACACTTGTAACTTGTCCTAACATACTACTATCATTAACACAGGGACAATGGGGGGAGATAAAAATAGGAAGGGGAAGAGGGGAGAATGAAGAAATACCTATACCTACGTAACTGTAAATAAAAATAAACAATCAGAAATCAATTCACATGGTTAACAGACACTCCATTGTATAGCTGAGGTTTAGACCACCTGCATTTAGGCTAGCAGGAGTGGGGCATGTCTGGCCCACAAGTCTTAAAAGGTCCATGAAATCATTTGCCCTGGACATGCCAAGGAACTGCAGGTGGTACTCAAAATTCAATAAATCTATTGCAGTCTAATTTTTAAGTGGACAATTTTGTATGGCCCACAAATCATGTTATAAATATCCAAATGGCACTTGGCAGAAAACAGGTTCACATCCTCTGGCCTAAGGAAAAAACTACAAACACATGCAACTCTATTTACTATGTGTCTTTTAAATGGTAGTATGAGTTAGCAATTTACTGAGTATCTGCTGATATTCCAGGATTGAATCAATAAAAAAACATGAATAATGGGGCCAGTTTTACCACTGTTATAAAACACTATGGAGTGCAGAAATAAAATCTGCAGTGTTGGATCAGAACTGGAGCTACCAGTACAAACACACTGCTTTGAACATCAAGTGCTGAGTGAGCACACACCCATGTGCATTCCTACACACTCACATCACATGGCTCTCTTCCTCCATGTCTGCTGAGGCCTGGAAGCAAGGTACTCACTGCCAGCTCGGACATGCAGAGTCCAGATTTTACCTTTCAAGGCTACTCTCTACTAAAAGGAACCAGGCCTCCTTGAAGAAGTCACTCATCCTGAGGCTTGGGAAGTAAAGATGAACCCTTTTCTGGTTTAAAAAAAAAAAAAAACAAAAAACTTGGAAGGGCTCCAAGAATAACAGAGGCATATCAAAAAGATATCAACTGCTTCATACATTGATTTGAGGAGGCTCCCACTAAGCAAATTCGGAACAGCATCAAAATTATGTAGATGGAATGACTGAATTACAAATTCATCTGGTAGTGGTCACCAACAGATAGTGAAACCACTATCAGTGGCAGTCAGTGTTGTGGCACAGTGGGTTACACCAACAGCTCAATCAAGCACCAGTTCAAGTTCCTCTGCTTCACTTCCACTCCAGCACCCTGCTAATGTGCCTGGCAAAGCAATGGACCCCTGCCACCCATGGGAAACACAACTGAAGCTCCAGGCTCCTGACTGGCCTGTCCCAACCCCAGCTATTACAGCCCTCCGGGAAGTGAACCAATACATGGATGCTCTAACTCTGAAAATAATCGAAAATAATAAAATTAGTGAGTGAAAGTTTAAAATATGGATATTTACAGTCTGTAAGGTTTCTTTTCACAAGACATTTTTATAAACAAAATATGAATTAAAGGGTATGTAATGCCACTGAACTGTATACTTCAAATTAGTTGAAACAAAAATTGCTAGATTTTGCCACAAAAAAATAATTACAAAAGAAAAAACATTAATAAAAGCCTGAAAGACACTACCTTAATGAAGTGATTTAAAAACACATTACCACTATTTCAACATTTTATGCTTTCAATGTAATACCGTAAAAGCATATTGTTTCTGCAGAACTCTGGCCACAGTGTGTGACCTGAATTCACTTAGCATAAAATACAATATAAACCAAAACTGAAGGTGGTCTACAAAGTAGCCTGCATCTTCAGAACTATCAATATCATGAAAACACAAAGGCTGAAGCACTGCTCCAGATCACAGGAAACACCGCGACTGAACACTTCTCATGACACACTGGAACAATGGGTGAGATCAGAACAAGTCGGATTATAATACTAAATCAATACTGACTTCATGATTTGACAACTGAAACTATACGTGAAACTGTTAATAGTGGTCAGTTCTGAGCAGTGGAATTAAAACAATTCTTACTTTCAGCCTTATGTTTTGTCTAGTTCCCTTACAATGCAGAGGAATGACTTGCATGGTTCTAATGACTTGCATGCGCTCACTTGGGGAGTGAATCACTGGACAGAAGATCTTCCTCTCCGTCTCTCCTCCTCTCTGTATATCTGGCTTTCCAATAAAAATAAATAAATATTTAAAAACAAATAAATAAAGGGACAGCTCACAAAGGCCTCACATCCTTCCTTTTCTACAGTAGCGCCCTCTACAGAACCACCTGAAAGGTGAAGTACGTGAGCACCGCATTCTGTTACTTCACCTGTCACATATTAAATGACGATCATGAAGTAGCCTATCATGTAAGAAAATTCCTGTTGGACTTACCAAATGAGACCACAGGGTGGAAAAAACATCTGGGACAAAGTTCTCTCCTTTTCGTTGGAAAACATTCATGCTTCTAACAGTGCAAGAACACAAATACACAAAGTATGGAATGTTTAAAATTTAAAAAAAAACTTAAAAAGCAAATAATCATCAGCTAAGTGGATAGAGAGAATTCAGTAATTGTATTACTAGGAAGATTGTAGGTTTGGCCTTACTTACAAATTCATTAATGATCAGGAGACAGTGCAAATAACACATTTAATTAAATTTGCTCATTTATCTATTTTGGGAAATACGATTAACAGCACTGAGAGAGAAGCAATATAAAAGGACAGAGACGGATTAAAAACATTGGCCCCAAAATAACCAAACTGGAGAGCAGATAGAAGACTGGGTAAAATTGCAGGCATTAAATAATAAAAGAGGGACAGCAAAGGCTTATTTTCCAGCAATTTTACTGCACACTGTTGCCACATTAAGTAATTCAGGCTAACATTAATGTTAAAAAAAGAAATATATATACGCACACTCACATGTATATACGTACATATACATATTTCTTTCTTTATGGGAGACTGATAATCCTAATTAAACAAGGATTCAAAAAAGGATTATACCTTAAAAATGAAGCACTGTTGATATAATTTAATAAAAGTAGATTTATGCTCATAGTTTCACAATTACAGAAACTCTATCAAGGATTACCAATAATTAAATAAGCATTCTTAAGAGCAGGTAACCGTTATCTACCCTGTATTCATCTAGCTACATACGGATTATCCCGACTATTCCTGCCTTCACTCCCAGGGACTGACGGTTCAAAATAAAGCCTATGTTTCCTAGTCTCTTCAGGACCAAGGCGTGGCTATGTAATTAAAATTCACCAATGGCTATGAGCCAACGCGGCACACATCACTTCCAGTGAGTATCTTTTTGAAAGCAGCATCTTTCCTTCCTCCTTTTTTTGGCTGAAATGTAGATGAAAAGACTGGAGCAGTAGCAGCTACCTTAGACACCAAAGGGACTCTGAAAAGGAACAGAATCCACATGGAGCAGTGCAGCAACATGACATTACACAAGCAACTACACTCCTAAACTATTACTTTTAGAAGTCCCAGCATCAAGAAAAATAAATGTCCTATCATGTTTAAGTCCCTGCTACATGAATGCAACAAATCTGCTTCTAATAAAATCCCTATATTAAAATTCACTGCCAATTTACTCATAGAAACAATATCTTCTTTGCCAGTTCCTTTTCTACCTCCAATTCCATTACTATGAGCAGTCACCAAATCCCAGCCTTAGTCCTTTCTGTACTTCCACTGACCTCTAGGTCAAACATTTTTAAAAAACTGTACTTCTGGGGGCCGGCGCGATAGCACAGTGGTTAAGGTCCTCGCCTTACACACGCCAGGATCCCATATGGGCGCCAGTTCTAATCCCAGCAGTCCCACTTTCCATCCAGCTTCCTGCTTGTGGCCTGGGAAAGCAGTCAAGGATGAAAGCTTTGGGACCCTGCACCTGTGTGGGAGATGCGGAAGAGCTCTGGGCTCCTGGCTTTGGATTGGCTCAGCACCAGCCATTGCGGTCACTTGGGGAATGAACCATCGAATGGAAGATCTTCCTCTCTGTCTCTCCTCCTCTCTCGGACGGCAGATCTTCCTCTCTGTATATCTGCCTTTCTAATAAAAATAAATCAATCTTTAGAAAAAATTAAAAACTGCATTTCTATGCCTCATCTTTTTAGCTTCCAATTTTATCTGCTACAGCCTATCATATTCTGAGACATAACCATCAAGAACATAATTGATTTTTTTAATAAAACCGATAAAGTGTCAGTGATAACAGCAATAGTCACTTGTACAAAACAAAATAAAAAACAACAAATAGCTGGTGTTCACTCACATCTTAAAGCTGGCCGGAGGTCCCAAGCCCAAGAGCTAAGCCTCCTATTAAGTCTGAGGTGCCAAGTATTATCACACCCCATTTCACAAATGGGGAAACAAAGTCTCACACAGATTAAAGAACTTGCTGAAAATACAAAAAGAATGCAGCAAAGAGATCATTCCATGCTCCCCAGACCCACTCTTAACCAGCACACACGAGGGGCTTGTTCCAGGAACACTATCTCAGCTTAAGACCTGTTCATATTTTTAACTGTTTTTAAATCTCAGTATTTTTTATAAAAATAAAATTTATGCCTTTGCAGATTAGTTTCTAGAAATTAAAAATTATCCTTTAGAAACAAATATGCTCAATATAATGGGTGATCAAGCAATACTCTTTTGGAAACAGGGAATGATCACCAAAGAAAAACACTATTTTTCTTGTATGGCTCTAGTAAGTCCAAAGTAATTCCTAAAAACATCCCAAAGAATATTGAGTTGCTAGAATATATGACCTCAAAAACAATTTTTTTAAGTCACAGCATTAATTTTAGCTTAATACACTGTTATGGTACCACATTCTTCTAAAAATTACAACTTAAGTTATCTAACACTTAAAATTTAACATATGATAAACTGAATTCAACTCTTTCTCCTAGAGCGATCTGAGATCTTTCCCCCAATGTTACCATCAACAAAACAATACAATTGGTCGTTCACAATTTTGAGGTATTTTGACTCTCCCAACACTTTTAACCCCAGACCTTAATGTTCTTCCTCTGTGGCAGGCACTACATTCTCTATTTCCACATTTTTTTTAACATTACTCTATAGCAGTGCTGAAAAATAGCCTACACTCTCCCACTGTACCACTGAAATATTCTCTAACCATTTCCTCTTGAAGTTCTCATACAAAGCTGCCAAAACAAGCTTTCTCAAACGCTGTTTCATTGTATAACTCAACCAGAGTATTGTCATGCATTTGGATAAAATCCAACCATGGTCTCAGGCAACACTTTACAATTAAAATACATTAATATTTCTACGAAGGAGATATGAATTGTTACACTTAAAAGGATAAAGACTCAGATTAACAGCTTTACAGACTGGATCAGATTGGATGCTGTCAACTGAGTTTGCCAAAAATTGACAAACAACGTTCAAGCTTCAGACTCGTGTGAATGGAAGAGCCTGCATTAAGAATTACAGACCTAAAATGAGTTACATCTGGGAGGTGAGATCATGAATAGATTTTGCTTCTTTTCTGATTTTCCAAGTTTTCTACAGCAAGCATATATCATTTACTATTCTTTTAAAAACTAGGTGGAACAAGGTCCTAGAAAAGAAATTGACCAACTTGCAAACTAAACTAAAAAATAAATAACAAAATAAATAATTATTTTTCAGGGCCTAAAAGTCAAGACCACAATTTTAGATTACAACTTCTCACAGCTAATAAAACACTGTCAGCAGTAGCGAGAGTCCCAACACTGAACAGGACACTTACTCACTGACATTTTAAAAATGACACTTTAAAAAAAAAAATAAAACCTCATTTGCTTTAGCTTACTACCTTCCATTTCAGTAAGTACTTGAGACAGGCTACCAACGATGGCAAGTGTCTTCTGCGACCCATGGTTTTCCCAACCGTGACTGACAGTCCTCCTATAACAAATGAGTCCATGGAACCATCGCTCTCCTTACACCTGGTAAACCTGAGACACTGATAACTTACAAGACTCAATTATAAAAGGCAACTCAGCTTCCACCTAGCTCTCTCTGCACGCTCATGCCTAGTTTCGCCACTATGTCACGTGGAAAGATCCTATGGAGGTATTCTGGGTTAAGAGCTAAACATCAACCAGACATGTGAGTGAAGAAGACTTCAGGTTCTAGTGCCCAGCTGTTACTTTTTTTTTTTTTAAGATTTTATTTATTTATTTCAAAGGCAAATTTACAGAAAACAGAGCCAGGGAAGCAAAGATTTTCCATCCACTGGGTTACTTCCCATATGGCCACAGCAGCCACAACTGGATCAGGCCAAAGATAGGAGGTAGAAATTTCTTTCAGGTCTATATACATGCTAGGGACCAAGTACTTAGCCATTCTCAGCTCCTTACCCGGGTACTTAACAGGGAGCTGGACAGGAAGTTTAAAGCTGGGACAAGAACCAGCTCCCATACAGAATGTTGGTAGTACAGGTGGTGGCTTTATCCACTAAGCCATAGTGCCAGCTCTGATTTTTTGACCTTTCCAGGTAAGGCTCTGGAAAGTTATCACCAAACTGCTTTGTCTGAATTCCAAAAGAATCCATTACCAATAACAAAATGGTTGTTTTACACCGTTAAGTTTTAGAGTAGCTTGTTAAACAATAAGAGCTAATCAGAAAAAGTACAGTTTGCTAGTTTATTAGCTTCAGAGCAAACATACACACAAGGTTATCAGGCTAAGACTCCACCTGCAGTGCTGGCATCCAGCATGCGCATCGGTTTCTGTTTCACCTGCTCCACTCCTGATCCTTGCTGCTGTGCCTGGGAAAGCAGCAGAAGATGCCCAAGTGCCTGGGCCCCTATACCTAAGTGGGAGAACCTGAATAAACTCCTGGTTCCCCTGCTCACAGTGGCCCAATTCTGGCCACTGCAGCCATTTGCAAAGTGCACCAGAGGATGAAAGATCTCCCCTTCTCTCTGTAATGCTGCCTTTCCAATAAAAATAAAATAAAACTTAAACACACACACATCCTAAAAAGTTGAGCTTCCTTCAACTTGAGAGAAGCTGCAATCCACCAATGCACAACTGGGCAGACATCTCTAAACAAGACAGCCTCTACAACGGGGCTTAGTAATTCATCTCAATTATCTTCTGAGTACCTATTATATATGACACTTGGCTATATGCCTAAGACACAAAGATGAATAACATGTAGTCTATGGTTATTAAGTTTATAATTTTGAAGGGAGGAGAAAAATAGGTACACAAATAGTTTATGAAAGTACCTAAGTGTCAGAATAGGGATATAAAGTTTACTACAAATGGACTTACAGATTTTTTTATTCCTTTAGGAAAGCAAAAGAGATTTAATAGACATCTAGGAAAAAAGGCAAAAAGAAAAAAAACTCATAAAAAATGTAGGCCAGGTTATGTTTATTTTGTATGAGAGACAGAGCTTCCCCTTCACGAAGTTTCCTCCCCATCTGCCCATCAACACCCGAGCCTGGGCCCGGAGCCAAAGCCAGGAGCTGGTAACCCCATCCAGGTTTCCCACATGGAAACCACCCAACTACCTGAGCCGACACTGCTGCCTCCCTGGGTAAGCACCAGTAGAAAGCTGGAGCCGAGCCAGCACATGGAGTACAGGAGTCCCAACTGACGTCTCCACCACTGGCCCAAACGTCCACCCCCCAGGTTACTTATACGTCTTGCTATTCTGTCAGTTGTTATCCTTTAAATTTTTCTGTATTTTACAAATATTTTACAGTGTATATTTTCATTTTTAAAAACTATTTTAAAAAAAGAGGGACAGTGTTGTGCCCCAGCATTTAAGCTACTGCCTGCAATTAATACCAGCGTTCCATGTGGATGCTGGTTCCAAGTCCAAGCCACTCCACTTGCAATCCAGC